TAATTAAATTATTAATACTAAGATTTAAATCAACTTAGAAATTACATAATTGAGAGTTCTTTTATTCCACCTCTTGAACTTGTTGTATGGCATGAGTTTCATTGAGTGGTGAAATTTGGACTCACATCTCTACTACTCTTTCTTGATTACTTTTTCCAAATGTGGTTATAAACACTTCTGAGAATGAATTCAAATCATAAACAAATTGTGAATCTTTTTCCATTAAAAATATAAATTAAGAAAGAGTACTTTCAGATAGAAATATATCTATAAGCCCAACTTGAGTAAATCCATCAAGATATTAGAAGAGATGCAATCTTAAATAGATCTTGAATTGTTGCATAAATCCTTGAAATCTTCATCTTATTCCATCAAACTTCTTGAGCATACTAATCCTTGTCCCTATTGTACTTGTAGAAGCAAAACTTCCTAGATTTAATTGTAAAGTCAATCTACTTGATTTTTCCAATTGTATAACTTCTTGACATAGATTCTAAACTTCTTCCACAAGCATAGGATTACTATTTCTATAGTTGGCACTGGTGACATATAGAATTTCTACCGTAAGAGTGCAGAAATTTTTTTTAAAGATTTGTAATAGTTGCAAATATATTCTCACTTTTTTCAAGTATAGCATCCATAATTTTTCCTTCCATTTCAAATAATTTAATAAATTTATAAGTCAAATTAGAAGAAGATAATCTGAAACCTCTAATATCAAATAAAAATTTCTAAAATGAAAGATAATTTACTTTCTTTACTATATATATATATATATATATTTATTTATTTATTTATTTATTTATTTATTTTAAAAAAAAATATTTAAAGGTGGATAATTTGCAACCTTCAAAACACAACAATAGAAGTGGAGTAATTTACTCACTCCTAAAATAAGATAAGAACAATGAATTAGCACTCTTATTAAACTATCAAAGATATGAATCTCAGAAAAAGAAAATCTCAATACATTCTTGTGTCACTCAAAAAGATTAGAAAATAATTCAAAGATGGTAATATATTGAACTAAAATGGCTATTGCCAAAGACAAGAAGATTAGAAAGTCTTGAAAGAAGACTAAAAACTAGAAAAGCGTTGTTGTGTTGTGATTGGACTACCATGTGAAAATATTATGTTTATATGTTTGATATATAATTTACTAAGTAACATAGTAAAAACCATATTAATGAATTTTAGTTGGTTGTAGAATGGAGTTAGATTACTATCTTAAAAAAAGTTGTTTAAAAAAAATATTATTACAATTTATATAACTTTGTTTTCTTTTGATAGTAACTTTTGAAGTTGATCTTATTAGTAGTAACTTTTAAACATTTAGAGTCACCCTTATTAGATATTGGTGATCCTTGAAGTTTTATTTTGGTTCTTTTATTTGGTGTTTAGGGCATATATTATGTAAATCTTATTAGAAAAAGGATTGGAGAGGAGTCTTGGAAGCAAAAAGAGAAATTAAGGTATCCATATGGATGAATGGATATAAATGATAAAAATCTTCATTCCTATTGGCCAAAAATCATGTCCAATGGACTTCAAGGAGGCTATCCAAGGCCTTATTAGAAATTAGGGTTATTATATCAAAACCATTTGAGCTTTGGAAGCTACAATTAATAAGTTTAGGTTTTTTACTATGATTTTGGTATAAATTTTGTGTAATTTGAAATTTATATGAAAGAGATATAGGTGCTAAAAGTTAAGGTGTTGATTTTGTACCTACTATCATTCTTTTGAATATAATGCATACTTATAGAAAGCAATAAAGGATTAGTAATTAGGATTGAAGAGACTACTTTTTTGGCTATACTTTTGGTATGCTATTTGATGGATTTCAAGTTGAAATAAAGGAGATATTGGAGGTTGAAATTAATGCTTGCAAATCTGAAAGTAGTAAGTGGCTGGATTAACTAATGGTTGTATTTTGAACTATATCTTGAGTATTTTGATGATATTTTAGCTCAAAATTTTCAAAAATATGTATATTTATGTTAATATATTTTATGCATAAATTTTGTAGCATTTTAATTTTGGTTTTTTGAGATATGAAGAAAATAGTGCTCAGATACTTGTAAGTTAGGATTTACAACACTTGCTAGGATTTCTAAGATTCCAAAAGATTGGTAGCTATTTTATAGTTAAATTTTTTTGTAGTAAAGCGTAAAGATAATAGCTACATTATGTAAGAATTTGAAAGAAATTGAATGGTTGGATCAAAAGATATGAATTTCTAAAGTTCGAGAAGAAGAAAATTTTTGCGGGAAAAATATGTTTTGAGAGATTTTTCTACAATTTGGGCATTTTATATATAGTGAAGAGGTTTTAGGAGGTAAGACTTTGTATATAAATTAAAGGTGGAATAAATTACTTATTGGAGCTTATCCAATAAGTTAAAATTAAACTCTTTACAACTAGATACCCCGTGTATTCCCAAATTGCAAATCACACTACATGACAACATTGACAAGAGTGAAGAAGGCTTCACTCTTGCCTTGATATATATTTTCTTATTAGGAGTTACATGGCAATATTCTATAGGACCTCCAATACATGTTGACTTTACTAGACACATGGCTTAATTTGCAAGACAACTTATATATATATGTGCCACATAACTAACTTGTCCCACAAGCTACTAACATGTATATTACATGGCTAACTTATTGACCAAGTTTTTAGCTTACTAATTCACTATAAACACATGTAAAGTCAAAACAATGTCTATGAATCTTCTAGGAAGCTTTTCTAGAAGATATAATAAAATTAATCTACTCTATTCTACTTCTACTTAATCATTAAAGTAATTATTGGAATAAATATGTATATCCGTGACAACATGCTAATGAATAAGCACTCTTGTATCATGACTAAGGCTAATGCTTGCACATTTAGATTGTAACAAAATTTCAACAAAAAAATCATTCATCTCTTTAAATTTGAAGCTAGCAATCTTAGCAAAGCTAATTCTTACAAAAAAAAACATCTTTTCTTCTTTACCTATTTATTTAGATATCTAAATTAAAAATATAATAATAATAATAATAAAATTTTTAAATAAAATATTTTAATTATTATCATAATGGAATTATGATACCATTCATCACATATTAAATGTTTTGATTTCATTTTTGATCTTATTACAAATTACATTTTCTTCATGAGATCCTTTTATGTAATAAGAAATTGTCATGTATTAAAAACTAAAGGTAGAATCCTCTTTATGTTACTAAATATTCATCATTTTCTTGATTTCACATTGATGAGAGGGCACCAAGTTGCATCTAAGTCTGGCACTACCTCTGCAACAAGTAAACACACTCACAAAGCATTAAGTTTCAAGGATCTCAAAGGCTTTATAATATCCTCAGCAAACTTCTTTTTTTGTGTGCAATTTGTTGCTTCCTCACAAATTTGGCATACTCTACTATTTAGTATCAACCACACACACACATGAGCAAGTCTGAGTAACAACAACCTGTACATCTTGGGTGGTGCCAGGAAACACAGCAACCTAAAAAAAATACATTCATATGTGCACATTTTTATTTTTATTTTCAGAATGAGGTACAGACTTATCATGCAACACACATTCTGGCATACAAGTAGCCATCACTTTATCTATTCATCTTCTCTTTCTCTGTCTCCCATTCACTTAAGATATTAGTGCAATAAGATCAAATGTTGCATTGAAATTTGTTTTGTTTTGTTTGCTGATGGATGTTGGTGTTTATTTATTTATTTATGTCTTCTTTATTTCTTCTTTGTTGAAGTTTTTTAATGGTGATTTATCACTGATGAGTAGCACCCACTCCTAGATCCTACTTTTGGTGTGAAGTAGCCCTTTGGAATTGTTTACTACAACTTTAAATAAAATTGGCAAATTTTTATTTTGCGTAGGCAACATGCGGCGTTAAGTTGTTTCAAAAGAATCAATGGCCGCTTGATCAATTAATAATCATTTCTGAACAGAGCAATTCCCCAGCGACGTCGTCAGTCCTCCTCGCTAACTCAACAAAGATCAGAAATCCAGCTCTGATGTATCTGTAGCAGGATAATGTGTCACTTTTCTCGACCGACTCTGCGATAGTGACGATATTGCGCAAATTTTGTTGGTACTTGCAACCCTTCTTTACTTGCACCTGGCATTCACCCAGACGCTGCCCATAACCATCGACACTTGTTAACATGAAACAGATGACAATTTGATTGATTATTACTTGTCTGCACAGATACAGTGCAATGTATGGCTTTACTTGGCACTGCTGGAATTCAAGGACACAGGTTCCCTTCAACTTTAAAACCCCAACTCCGTTCCAGTAGTAGGAGTTATATATACTAGGTGTGAAAGGTTATATTATTGACCTTCATGTGCAAGGAGATAATTTTCGGCAATAGGAACTCTAAAACCCCACACTAAAACCCTGTTAATGAGTTCTGTTCTCCACGTACTCAACCTTGGTCTGTGCACATGCTTCAATGAGGACTTCATCAGTAAAGCATGATTTCAAACCCCATCAATACCTCAAAATATTTATGTAGAAATCAAGACTTTTTGAGACCCTTGCAAAACATATGGCAGAATGCTCTGCACAGAAACCCTTCAAATTTATATCCTGGCATTCGCCACATGCATTGCTCGGACATGATTCTGGTGCTTTCAGCAAACAGAATCAACACAATCAACACCTCCTGCCAAGCAAAATGAGAACATGCAACGTATATACCTTGAACTACCTCTCTCATTGGGAGCTCATGCGGTAAACATCAATCACATTGAGACTAGCACGTTCGAACCCTGCAAGCCTCCGGGCTCCACTCAAGACAGCTCTATATTCAAATTTGCTGCTTCAACCTCAATTCATTTAAAATAATCCTAGCAATAGTCACCAGTAATACCTGGAGCACTAAAAGTTAGTTACTCAGGCGGCCGGTTAGACGGTTATTGCTACAATAGTGACAGGAAAAGAAACTCAACAATGGATCTCGTAACATTAAGTAACAGTGAGCACAACGCCGCAAATTCTCTTTAGCAGTTACTTTGGAAAAAATCACAACAAGGTAGTTATAAGAAAAATTGAGGGAGATTTTTCTCCCACTGTACACAGCTCATCTGCTGCATAATAGCAATTTTCTCTTCCAATACCCTCTTGTTTCATCCTCAATGCAGTCGATCTGAACTGCCTCATGCCTGTCTACTTAAAATTTTCTAATTCCCCTCTTTGCTACATGTGATCAGGTCGACAAGCAGTCAATTTGGTGCACATTTCGAGCAAGTCACGTCCTGACAACAATTTCAGTACATTTGACTCTTTTGCACTACTATTGTAGGATGTTCCTCATTCCAGCAGCACAAATACGAAACGATAAGCCATCTTAGCTGTACATGGTAGAGCAAATGCAGCTCACCAGAGTCTTCACTTACCAGTGCACATTGTAATAATTTCGAATCTAGGATGCCTGCGATCATATTTTGTATGATCTATACCCTGCTTCCTCGGTGATCAAGTCTTCGTCCCAGTCACCTAGATTTTTACCCCCGAACACTAATTGCTTGATACCCACATGGCTGAGACAAGCCACGCACACACACACATGTTATGAAAATAATGCATACTGCCTCAAGTTGAAGAGAGGAGAGTTTACTAACATCTAGGAGAAGCCAATATGAGAAGTGAAGTAATAACGCACATAATTGCAAGAAGAAAGGGGAAATCCCTCTTTACTTACTCGGAACTGAGGTTAGCTAACGTATTTATAAGCATATCCAAAGAGACAGGGTCGGATGTACCCAGGTCCACCCTGCCAGACAACGACCAATGTTAGCATCCACACCCAACTACATCTGCTTGAGTTAGCCAGGTTATATACATGACTCCCACAATGGGAACAAGTTCTCGAGTGACAATGTTTCTAAACACCAAAACTGAGACGAAAAATAACCAAGAGACACAAGATGGACAAGATCGTGCCTTTCAAAATAGGAACCCAAGAACAGAAATCCCAACGGAACTACAAAAACCAAGATCACTCACCATAAACGTGCCCAGTTGTCTTGAAACTCAACGTCACCGATGTTATGGAAGAAGGTGTCACCGATTTCTTGCGCCTCTTTCGCTTTCTCTTGGCTGTAGCTTAAAGGAGCGTTTGGAGCCGAACTTGTGAGCTGCACGTAGAGCATAGTAGGTGTAAACAACTACAAGAGACCTGAACTTGATGCTCCGAAATGCACCAAAAATGTATAATCTTTCGAACTTGGAAAATGTGCGAACTCAGATACACGCTAGCCACAAGCTAAGCAGGATACGAACTCTGTCATCAGCTCTCGATTGCAAAATAAAGTCTATGATAAGATCCAGTACGAGCATACAGTAGTATGTGAATGCCTAATCGCAAGCGTAAGACCATCAAGATGAGAAAACATAACCAACCTGCATGTTCATGGCGTTGAAACCACCAAGTCGGCCTAACACAAACCATGACCGGAATATCTGCAAGCACCATGTGGTATTTAGTTTGATAGCTTTTACACGTGCCCAGTTTGAATGTAACAAGGAACCGATAACTATTCCATTACCCAAGCTGTTGTAAGCGCGTGTTCATCCCTTTGCTGAGCAATCAACTTATCGACACAGATGAGTGCTAATTTTGACATGTTTGTGTCCCACACAACAGATTACTCTTCATTGTAGAACTGACCAAGTCAGATATAACCATTCCTCCTTCACATTCTCTTTAGGACATTCAACTTTCAGCAGATGTCACAAAATATAATACAGAAACTAGTGCATTGACAAGCACTCACATTTCAATGTTGCTTTTTCAAATATCTTAAAAATGCGAAGGCATCAAAAGAAGTAGAAGCGAACATACACTTCCAATCAATTCAACATCTTTGTCTGTTGGACGGGTGTAAAACTCCAGCCAAATATGACTATCCAAAGCATCAAAACTGCATCAAAGTCCAAGATTGTTATCAGAAACATAGGGCGCAGTACAATAAGGATTCTTGAAACTCATCATCCAAGAGATAAATGCTGCTTATAAAAAGCTCCTTGACGCTCCAAGGATATCTTCATGTACTTACTCGCGGAAAGATACAGCCATTGGATTAACAGATCCTTTCTTTGATTCAAGAATATCCCGGCTCTTCCTTTGAACTCTATTTTCCACCTGAATCACAGAATAACGTACTTGCAGTTAAAATATTATTAAAATCTGTTCACTGGTCGAGTTCAGAGGCATCTTTACTAATTAATTGCGAGTGAAGAAGATTCTGCTTTTGTAGCAAGCTCAAAAAAAAAAAATCAAGTGAAATGCAACTAGACGAACATACTCTTCGTTTCATCGCTTCTGGATCTTCAAGAGCATCTCCCATGATTTCCTGAAGCTCTTCGTCGTCCCGGGCAGAATCTTCTACATTCCTGTAAGTAACTCAAATCGCTTAAGCTCTCGAGAAACCCCGCCGTTGGGAAAACTAAAAGACAGAACACGGAAAACATTCACGGCCAGCTCAAACTTCAGGAACTATGAACGTATAAAACTATAATCTATACGGCCAAGAATTTCCAGCTATCGAGGAGCTGTCGAATACATCCTCAAAAACCCTAAACTCATAAACCCTAAACCCTGGCGCTACTACTCTGTTCCTAAAACATGAGAACTGACCAAGAAAAATTTCACCAGCTATACAGGTCAGAGAAGAGCGTGCATTCTAACTAGACAGTGAAAACGTACAATCACCAATTGAAGAGCAAACTGGTAGACCAGCATTCAATTAACAAAATCATACAAGAGCTGGAATTTTACGTTGCCCATTCAGGATAGTTGCCATCGTTCTCATTCCCTTCCTCCATTTCTCGCCTCTTCCTCTCCTCCGCCAAAAATTGCATCTGCCTGTCGCGCTCAGTCGACCCTGAACCCACCGCCGCACTATTCACTCCATCACCATAGCTAGAACTCCCTCCGTGCCCGTTGCTGCTCACGGCTCTGATCACCTTTAATCTCTCTGCTCTCCTCCTTCCCCATGTTCCCAATTCTAATTTTCCTTTACATTCGTTGCTGATACGCAGCGCCCCTGCGATGCAATATTTGACGCTCAACATACTATCCACACCTCAACCTAGTCTACTCAAACTAACACCAAATCTCGGTCAAGTTTGGCACTACAAATGCAAACACAAGAACACCACCACCACCACCACATTAACATCAACAACAATGCTATCTGGAGCTTATAATTCATCTTTTGCAAAAGATAGTGTGGATCATCACGGCTATAGGGCTCCTACGTTCTAGGACCCTGGTCAAACAAAGATCTCAGCCATTCACCTTCACCTTGGAACTACATTCTGTATATTTTGAGCACGCTGTGCTTTCTGGGCCTTTATGCAGCTGGAAGTTGATAAGAGGAAGTGAGTTGATGGAGTTTGAAGACTAGAGAAGAGCGGTTAGTTTGGAGGGGTGTCCTCGGTGCGATGAAGTGCATTTACGGTCAATTTGAATCGGCATTTGAGTGAACGCACACATCGGACAGATGGGTTTCTGATTTCTTACCCTAGAAGCACTCGTCCTTTGCGTCTTAATTGTGTGGCTGTACCTGGCTTTAGTCATGGCAGAAGAACGAAGCATGGGACGTGCTCGTTGCGAATCAGTTTCAAATGGGTGAAATGCAGGAGCATGGAAATGATCAATACGAGCAGCTACAGTTACTATCTAACTCCAGGCCTCATGAGCAAATCTGCAACTGCAAGCGCAAATAAGGTACTCCGTTTTCTCAAACTCCGTGAAAGATAGAAGAGGTCGTTAATGCACAGGTCTTGCTCTCGTACACGAAACGCCTGATTAGGATTGATGATGCAGAGATTGTAGGAAATGGGGCTCCACATGCTTGACCTAGCCACAAGCGGAAGGCATAATTGAGTTCATGAAGCAGATACAGGGCAGGCGTGGGATTGTGGTAAACACCCAGCACGGATACATGTAAGCGTACAGTAGCAATTTGACTTGGGGTTGCAATGGTAGCATTACTGTAATATTAGGTTAATGTTGATCAATGAAGAGAGCAGCGATCATATGAAATGGTTCGATATGGGGTTCTCCGTCATTTTTCACAACATTCCAACCTGCTGCTTTGACATGGCTCCTTACTTTGTACGTGTTTGTGGAACTCCATGATAAGGACCCAACTTGTAGGCTCCGCCTCACGTACACTGCCAACAAGAGGAGGTGCGACTAGGAATTGCACAAAAAACCTAAGGAAAGATGCATCTAAGCTTTGTCGAGTGTGCAGATTGTGTCCAGGCTTTGCGAAAACGTTGTGCAGGATTCGAGAGCGCAGTCGAAAACAGGTTGTGTGATGAAGTTCCACTAGTGTGTGTAAGAGATGAACTTGCCATCTTGGCACTATGAAACGTGCAAGTGGGATATGAGATCTTAGTCGTTAAGCAACACTGAGGGAAATTAACAACGAAGTGGAGATGTTCCAGTGCAACAAAACCCATATCAGGATAACCATTTTGTGACCCCTAAGCTTATTGATATTGCCTGGTTTCTATTATCTGATCAAGGGTGCTGTCGTGCTCTCATTCCATCGCCTGTGTTGGTGTGAAAACAGGAACATATTCGATACCGTGTATTCTCGGGTGTGCTTGCTTAGAAATAAAAGTACAAATAATTGGTTGTGCTCTATTCGTGTGTCTACTCAGGAGTAGTTGCCTTTATAGCTCAGTGGTAGAGCGTCAGTCTTGTAAACTGAAGGTCCGGTGTTCGATCCACCGTGGAGGCAGCGTATTGATTCGATCAGGAAATTCAAGCATATAAACACTTTTGTTGTCTTAGTGTTCAGTGGAGCTATCAGGAAGTCTTTCTCTCTGCCAATTCAACTTGAATGTGCGGCGTCCACGTGGTAGTAAAGGCTTGTAGAGCAACAACTGCATGATAGGTAGTGACAGAGCTACTTGAAAACAAGGCCTCATGTCATCTATGGAGAGTGAGAAATCGTGCGTTCTGTTCTAACCTTTCTCTCATTGTTGCCCAAAACGGAGCATGGCCTGCGTGCAGGTTTTTGAACGTTGGATCCGTAGCAGTGTCCATGCCAGTGTCGATTCTAGTTTCACATCCCGACACAGGATTTACACTGAGCAAGCAAGCATGTCCATTGCTTTCTGGTTGCAGTGGATCCAGTTTCTGAATAATGCATGGACTCAGTGTGAAGCAGGCCTTTGGAGTGGCTATGTTCTGTTTGCAATATGTGACGGTAAGAATCTGATCTTTCTCTGTATTGCACCTGTTCTTACAAAGAAAGAAATAAGATGATAAACAAACATATGTGTACACACACACATGGAAGGGGATTATTCTTACAAAACGTCTGGGAGCAGGTTCACTATCCAAACCAACTTGTTCATTGCACAGGAAATGAGTCTTCACAGTTTTAGACTTAACCCCACTTATTGTTGCCAAGTGTGCTGTTATGACGTTAATGTGTGGAATGAATTAACTTGATGTCATCGCAAGTATTTCTGCAATTCAGATACTTTGTTTGTCTATTGTTTATGACTTGAAGAAGATCCATTCATGTGGATATGTATGTCTATAAATATATATATAGATAGATATAAATATGCATATTTCATCAAAGCCATAATATTATTTATTCAAAACCAATACTAAATAATATTGAATAATATTATTCTTCAAGATTGATTTCACAAAAGAAAATTCATTTTTTAATTATTAATGAATTCAATTTTTGATTTCTTCTTCTTCTTCTTCTTCTTTTTTCTGTTTAAACTTAATATTTACATATTATTCTATAATCATATAAAACAAAATTTGCAAGTTCTTCATTTTTGTAGCAATAACTGATTTTTAAAATTTAAACAAATTTAAATTTTGGTTTAGCTTCTTTCATCCATGTTTATATTTCATAGGAATTTATTAATTGTTGTGAAGGGAATTTGAAACAATTCATTGAAATTAAAAGCTTGCTCTCATCGCTAAAAAATTCTCAATAATATTTCATGATTTTTCTTTAATTAAAATATACAGTTTATCTTGATTAACATCCAAAATGTTCATTTAAAAAAAGCCCCTTAAATAGGGTGGTTTGGAATGGGGCATAGAGGACTAGGAATAAGAAATGGGGGCAATGAGGTTAGGATTGAGGGAACAAGGGACAGAGACAAGGGATGGACAAAATCAATTATGAGATAGAAAGGAGGGGGGTGTGGCTTTAACAACTCCATATATATGTATATATATATATATATATATAGCTTAGTATATGTGTGTTTGTATGTAAACCAAATAGAAGCATCCAAAAGGCATGAAGAATTAAGAAGTATCTACTTAAAAGAAATACAAGACTTGATTCCAAGTCTACCATCAAAAATTAAGGTACAATTTAAGAACAATATAGAATCTTATAAACAATAGTATATCAATTAAATCAACTTCCAATAGAAGATTGATCTAAAACATGGTTGAAAACATAGTTAAAAAATCACCATCAATATTTTTTTAAATTAAAAGAATTATAAATTATAATACATAGAAATCAAGATTTAAAAACTTGTATAAGAAACATGACTCTAAGATATTAGATTTACAAACATCTGACCAAATAAAATTAGATTTAAATAATGTAACAATCTAGTTGTATATAAGATGTTTTGTAAGTAAAAACGGATTCCATATTTATTAATTATATTTATATTTAAAGAATACATAATAAATTCTTAAATATTTAATTAATAAAAAATTCAAATTTAATGTCTATCTTTTTTAGATATTATAATAATAATATGATAATTCAACTTTGTGTCTTTTTCTAAACAATTAAAAATATAATCAATTTTTTTCTATATAATATTAGGAGTCTAAATAATTTTAAATTTTTATTAATATTAAGAAGATAAATGTGTAGTCTCAAGTATAGATGAAATTTATTAATATTATCTAGATATAAGCTATATGATAAAAAAAAAAAAAAAAAAAAAAAAAACTAGACCATGTTTTATGATTTAGTACTAATTTTTATACATTAGAATCAACCTTAGAATATTTCAATAATCTTTATAGAAATAAGATTACCAAAAAAGAATTACTGTATTTGAAATATATATATATAATCACAAAAAATATTGCTTCCTAAAAAAAAAATTAATAAGTATAAAACCATAAAAGACATAATATTATCTAATGATATTTCGATTGAGATATGTACTTACTTAACATGTCATCCATAAACAATATCAAAGTCTTAGATAAACTCATACTATTTACACAACCTTAATGTATAACTAAAAATATATAATAATAGATAAATACATTTAAGACTTTTAATGTAATAAGAATTTGAAAATTTTAAATATTATTGATTGAACTTAAATAATTTGAGGATACAAATATATACTTCTACTAAATCTAATAAAATTATCTACATAATTCTATAGAAATTTTAAAACTTTCATCAAAATTTGAAATTATATTCTAAAATAAATAAATCATAATCTTAATTTTAATAGTATTTAAAATTAAAGATAAAATAGCTAAAATAGCCATGAATGAAAAAAATTTAATATAAACTGATCATTATTAAAATCTCAGAAATTTACTTAAATAATATAAAAGAGATCAATTACACATGATAATTCTAGAATTATATAATAAAAAAAGTCTAATATTATACTTGAAGGTAGTTTCTTATCTCACAAAATTAAATAAAGATATTTTTATAAATAATTGTGAATTAATTACATTACTTAAAATTTTATAAAACATATAAATTTTATTATAATTAATACTAAAGAAGGAAATATTAAAAAAGGATTTTTAAATATTCTATCTTAATTAAGATTTTTTTATAAGAAACCATTTATCAATCCAAAAATAATAAAAGAAATATACCCTCTTATTTTTTAAATCCTTTCTTTATTATAAATATTATGGATATTTTTCTTTCTTTATATAAAAAAATTATAAGTTTATTCTTTATTTATGGTAGTACTGGTAGCCTATCTATAAAAAAAATAATATGGTGCTAGTATAAAAAATATATATATATATATATATATATATATAAGTTGTTTTAATTCAACAAGAAGTAAAAGAAGTTCTATTAGACTCTTAATTTTTATTACAGTATAATACAAATTAAAATTGGATTATTATAATTCTATTAAATCATCAAAGAATCAAATTACCATAAAAAAGTAATAAATAAATAATAAATGTATTAATAACTATATACTTTCGATAAGAAGAAAAGAAAGAAATGCCAACTATATACATTCTCTGATAACTATGCCAACAAGTCTAGGTTATTTACATTCTCTCATAACTTTAAGTCTTTAAAATAAAGTAGACAAATGTTTGAGTTTATTAGCTAATTTGCATAAATCTAAGCCTATTGTAAAAAAATTATAGAAATTGACTTAAAAAAAGAAAAATATATTAATAAAAGTTTTTCTATCTGATTTTGTTTTATTATTAAAATTAAAACTTCAAGATTTATTAATTAAATGATTGGAATTTTGTGAAATATTAGTGTCAAATTAAACTTATCAATCTAAAAAAACCATACTATTTCAAATATTACTTTTGTAAGTACATTACTTTTGTATTTAGATATGCATTATATTTTAAGTCCATAAATTATTATTATTATTATTATCATTATTATTATTTAATAAAAAAATATATAATATTTTCTTAAATAAATAGAATTTATATTGCAAGTCTAAGAAAGAGAGTGATAAAGCATTTGTGAATCTAAAATATGCTATAAGTTGTTTTAAATCATATTGATTGTAAATAAAATTTTAATTTAAAGAAGCCAAAAAATAAAAAGTAATGATACTATCAATAACATAGCTAAAAAAATTGTTCTAGATTTAATTTTTAATTTTTTGAAGAATAAATAGAAAATATGTTAATGCAACATGGTGTAATTTTTTAAAATATATATCTTTTCATTTTTTGTTAATATAGGTGGATCACATTACTAGAAAAGTTATCAACTAAAATTAAAATCCAAAAATATTATTATGATCTAATTAAGTATTTTTTTAGTAAATAGATATTTTTTATTAGTATTTTTTCAAATAGTAAAACAAATACTAAGATTAAAATTGACCCTATATCTAAACTATATTGTTTTGAATTAAACATCAGGAGTTGCATACAAAAAATAAGGGTTTTTTTTATAGTTATAAATATTTGAAAAGATTCAAAAAGTGTAGAATTATCCCACAAACAAAAAGAAGAGGTAGTTTTAAATTTAAGTTCCAATGGACAGCAATTAAAAAAACCATGTGTAATGTTTTGCACTATAAAGTTTAACAAATGGCTAATTGTTTTATGGATGTCATATCAAATTTATTGGTTCATATGTGGTTTAAAACATATACTAAAAGATAAATTAAATTGATTTGGTTATTATAGTATACAGATCTTGCTATCAAGGTTTCTTTTAAAAAAAGATAAAATAATTATTTTTAATAAAAGTGAAGTATCTTACTCTTCTATCAATAATATTTATGTAAGAAAAAAGATAGTTATTTATAATTAAAAATTATGATGAATTTTTATAATAATATGCATAAGGAATTCAAATATATATATATATATATATATATATCTTAATAAAAAATATTATAGATAAATAATTAAAGAAATAAAAACTCCTCTTGTAATAATTTTATAATTTTT